CGTCGTAAAGACGATCGGCAGGAACGAACCGGCCGGAGGGAGACGACCCACCTTCCTTATCCGCCCCTCGTCTCACCTGCGAAGAACCTCATCACGACGAGCGCAACGGCTCTCTTCTCGTCGCGGATCCAATCTCCAAACCGTGCGCGCACCAATTTGACGTCAATTAAATCGCGTATCAATTTTCGGCGGAAGCTAATGACAAAATGTCGCCGACCACCACCGCGCGGCCTTCGACGGGCCTTCGCGCGGGATTCGATTAATTCCGGCTGTTCTTCTGTCGTCTCTTCCCTCTACCACAGCGTCCGCAGCTTCGGGAGCGCGCATTAAGCGAAGGGGGCCCCATGAAAAAGCGACTTTTTGTCGCAGCAAATTTCTCGGGTCGGCCCTTGAGAAATGACCGGTCCCTCCCCCCCCATGCGCCCTCCTACGTCGCTTCGTGCTCCTTGATTACGATATTTCAATGATAAAATGACTCGAATAGAAGCGTAGCTGGCTGGACTGAATAAAAAAGTTACACAGAGAGAATGTTATATACTGGAAAAAAAATTTACTAAATTTACTAAATTTCAAAAAACGTTTGTTTAGATAGTACTGTGAAGATATTTGTTTAAATGAAGTAATTATTTTCTAAATTTAAAGAAACAAATTTATATTTAAAATTTCTTTATTTAATTTTAGTAATTATTTAGTAATTATAGTAATTATAGTAATTTTAGTAATTATTTAGTAATTATTTAGAAAATAATTACTTAATTTAAATAAATATCTTCACAGTACTATCCAAACAAACGTTTTTTGAAATTTAGTAAATTCTTTTCTCAGTGCAGTTTTCTATTTTTCTCATATGAACTCTTTTCTATTATATGAATATAGTCGCGCTATATGAATTTTATTATGTTTTTGTAGTCCACAGAATTAGATTATCGATCTAGATCTATCATGCTGAGAAACATAGTGAATTTTTCTGGAAACATATCTTAATATTATATACTACCGTCCAGAAGTTTGGAAGCAGTCATATTTTTGTGTGAAATAAAAGATCGTTTGTAAATATTATAAAAGTAACCGGGTATAATGAATGTTTATTGACATTAATGACTACCTTAGGCCAGAACACCAACTCTTTGTGCCTATGTCTAATAAATTCTTGCTATTATCTACTTGCGGTTGAACACTTTGTTTTGGTCACGTTCAAATCACAGAAATATGATGTTTATCTTCAATATCTAACCATTGTATTCTAATTAAATAGGATTTTAATAGTATTCAAGCATTCATAGACGCAAGTTAGAATTTTTGAGCTCAGTGCGCATTAAAGTTATCAGTCGATTGATTTAACTAAATTATTTTATTTAATATAATGTAATTATAAGCACAGAAAGTTGATATTCTAATCTAAAGTAGTCGTCAATGTTGGCAAACATTCATTATAAGCGGTTGCTTTCATAATATTTACAAACGATCTTTTATTTTACACAAAAATATGACTGCTTCTAAACTTCTGGACGGTAGTATACAATTTAGTTGCTGAAGTATAAGTAGCACGCATGAAACGAAAGAGAGTAGAGCTGGTCGCTACAAAATGTCGATCTGTTCCTCGGCTACAAGGTCCTATAGTAATTTTTGCTATAACATTCTCTCCGTGTAGTTGCTGATTAGAACAGACGACATTTCCTTTCGACGAAGATTCAATTTCTTCTAGAGAAACAGCTGGAATTACTCGAGACCATTGATCGTGCGATGATTGATCGAATGAATGATCGACTCGTGAAGTTGTTAAAAAAACGTCACGGGCACAGTGTTGCTCGGGTAGTTGGTATCTCCGTATCGTCGAGGTGTATCACTATTTCCTTCACTTATCGTGAATTTATTTAGTTGCTGCCTCGTGACCGCGCGCCATCGACGGCGGATTTTTCTTCCGGGCCGATCGCGTGAGATGTTTATACTTGTCGATTAGACTTTATCGCGAAGATACGTTCGGCTGCTGCTGGCTACGTAGATTACCTCTATTAAGCTTGCACGATGATCGTGAGCCCGAGGGTGTGCGGCGATCGCGTCGACATAAACGCGCTGCGCGTCGAGCCTAGGCCCGATCTTAGACGCTGAGGTCTTAATTGGCGCAGGAATCTCTCTTGGCGCTTATCGGATGACTAATTAATTAAGGCGACCGGACGATAATTAATTGTGCGGAAAAATCAGGCGTGATTCGTAACCGCGCAGCGACGGCTTCCTATCCTCGCTGTAGCGTAATTATGCGAAACCCTTTGACCCTCGAAGGCTCGCGTCTCTAGGTTGAACGTGAGCGCGCACGTCGTGTCCTCGTCAGGACGACGTTTATGAAATTTTTCGCTTGGAAAAACAGCTTGTCGTGGAGGAACTAATTTCTGAAAATATCAACGATTCCGAAATTCTTGTTGAAGTTATCAAAATTCGGATAATTTTTTCATAAATTAGTATGACTTAAGATTCTAGATTATCAAGATTAATAAAAACCTTAACATACTAGAGAAAATTATAGTTGCTTTCGGTGTCAATTATATTCTTTTGTGATTTTAGCCACAAAATAGTTAGAAAAATCATTGTTTTAATAAGTGTTATTAGAAAGATGGTTCTTCTAATTATTTTCGTGGTTAAAATCACAAAAAGTATAGTTAATGCCGAAAGCAATTATAATTTTTTCTCTGTGCAAAATTCTCGACTGGAGTTTCCGAATCATTTCTAAATCGTTCGTATTTCACCAGAAATTGGCTCATTGAACCAAAATTTTCCGTACACAAATTACCCGAGTCTTATCCAAAGGTCAGGCACTTTATCCAAAAACTTTATATATAAGAAATATAGAGTAATTCGTGAAATGTTTAATCTTCAGCAAATAATGACCAATTCTCGCGCGCTCTATTCTCGTTGTGCGTAACATTTCCAACGACGCAACAACGTTGTGGCGGCACAATAACGTTTAGCCGCTTAGATGGCGAGTACTTCCGTGAAAATGGGATCTCGAGAATGAAAGTCGCAGGCGACGCACGCATTCGTGCGCTCGCTTCGGGGTTATCGGCGGAAATGGTCGTGTCGTCGTTTGAAAAAAGAAAAAAGAAAGCAGTTAAGTCTCAGGTCGCCGTTTTTATCGCGGACGTCTCGATCGCCGCAGACATCGCGATCAAAGTCGGGCGCACCGCTCGCGGCAAGAATGCAGAATTCCACTTTCCATCGGCGAGGCGCATTACGGCGAAGCAAGGCGTATTCCGGCCGTGTACGCAGCAGTGCACCCATGCCTGCATTGTGCGTTCTTGCGAGCGAACTTGTTTTCCATAACGCAAGTGGAACGAATCTAACATTCTCGCCGGGCCATTGAGCGCGGCTCCTCGTCGTCGTCGTCGACGTTGTCGTGGCCGCGCGAGAGCGATAATCTACGTGCGATCGAGCCGCCTCTCGAAAATCGAATGTATCGGAAATCATTCGCGGTCAGTCGCGCGGAATAATGGATTAGGCGAGGGAGACTCGTCGGGCTCTCTCCGGAGGCGGGGGACGGGGGCAAGGGGGAGAGAAGAGGGTCTTCGGCCGGCAAAGTATCATCATGTGGGGAATTGAAAAACGCGGATCATCCCCCTTCGCATTTTAAAACGTGCCCCGGGGCGCCCTGCTGCCCGCAGGTCTTTCCATTCGAGGGTGCTGTGCGCAACGTGTGTAAACAGGCGAATATTGAACTTCAAAGTCGACCAGTCGACGCCCGTAGCGGTCGTTCGAGTGATCTAATATCCGCTCATTTCGCTTGTGATCCGCTACTGTGATGGAAACGTTGAATATTCGATTATCTAAATATCGATCCTGCAATATGGGGGTGTGAGCCTCTTTCTGTTTCTATTTCTGCTTACGACGACGTCGACTTGATATTTTTTTCGCTTAATTGGTAAGGTATATTCGCGTCGCGCCACGCTGATTCGATCTTATTTCGCTCAACTAAAGTTCGAATAACCAAAGATGCGGCAGAAAAATACAATTAAATATGCATGCGTTTGCAAACCTGTTTTATCGACTTTCTGTGACCAGGTGTCTCCAGTTTTATATAGGTAACTGGTTACATAAATTAATGACTGATATGCAAATTAATGAGACGCGGCAAATTATAGTAATCAGTGACCTCAGTGTGGCAGTCAACATGTTATAAAATATTATAGATTAAAAATTAAACAGAAATATATATATATATATATATATATATATATATATATATATATATATATATATATATATATAAGATTTTCTTAAGCAGAATTCGCATATTGTGTTTTTTACGAGTTTTCTTCACGAACAATGTAACGCGAGCATATTTTCGAGAATGCTTCCATTATACGCGACAGATATTGGAAAATTTTGGTCTCTTCCCAAATTCCTCGAATGATGACCGAGCCATCATCCCTATGGATGAAATGCGCGCTTAAGTACCCGAGTCAACACACCTTAATCGTTATTTTCGTGCCCGGAACACGTTTCGTTCGAGTCTCGTTTACTCGCCAGGACGATGTGTGTGTAGATGTGTAAATTCGCGCACGTCCACGGACGCGGTTGGGACTCGGTGCATATTTGGGAAGGACCGGGCTGTGTCGTACGACAGCAGAACATGACGACGCGCGTGAAAGTGCTGGGGAATGCGAGAGTGTGCACGCACGGAATGCACCTTCCGACATTTTTCTAACCAAGAAAGGAAAATGCTTTCGGGAGATATCAGCGCGGAGTTGAGATTAACAAGCACGGCTCCGTGGGGGATCCTTCGACTCTTCAGACATCAAGATAAAAAAGACTTTTACGCAAAAGTTATCTCTTCGGGGCAGCGAGACGATAACGTCGACCGCGATCCCTCTTTCCTTCCTTTCTTCTGCCACGGGCATCGTTCCCGCCGGGACACGGCAGCACGTTTCTGCCGCCACACGATCGAATGCCACAGCCGAGGAGAGCTAGAATAAGCTCCAGCGCGAGCAAGAGAGGAGAGGCCGGACGAAACGTCGGCGAAGAGAAAGAGAAAGCGCGCGCAGGACGACGACTACGACGACGGAGGAGGAGGAGGAGGAGAAGGAGCTGGTGGTGGCGGAGCGGAGACGAGACCCGCGCGCGCAGCAAGGGGCGCGCGAGGCACCGAGACGGTGGCGCCCTCTGAGCGGTGCGCCACCGAAGATAAGATTAGTCAGCCGCCAGCCGTCCGAGAACGACGTACGCTTCGCGCGCGCGTCCCCGTCAGACTCCATTCAGTGCGTGCGCGCGCGCGCACCACACGAAAACAGGTGGTCGCGTTAAATCGACGATCGTCCGCGATTATACGAGAGCCAGTGGTAGTGTCGCGCGCGATCACAGCCGCCGAACTGCACTCACCGCACTCGTCTGCCCACCCGCGTTCCTCGTGTCGTTCCAGCCGTGGCACCATCACATTCCAGCGGCAGCCGCGGCCACGAGAGGAGAATTCCGCGAGAGAAACTTTGACCGAGGATATGATATTATTTCGTCTCGCGACGGCATTTCGGTGACCGTTTTGTAGGAAAGTTTTTGCGGTTTCTCTCTCTGTCTCGCTACCTGCGCCGGCGACGTCGCGACAAGTTTGAACAAGTTTCGACAAGTCGGTGTCACCTTTCCTGTTGGAATGACGACGTTATAGTTCGATGCGTCAGCCGTAGTCCTGTGGCAGTCTGGCAAACTGTGAGTGTTTGTCTTTGTGTCTGGCAAACTGTGAGTGACATCCGAAAAAGACGGAGATACGCAGCGGGACGTCGCACATACTTGCGTGGCGTAGCGAAAAGAGCCGAGGAAACGTCCAGAGATCGGAAAAGTGTCTCTTGTTTCTGTCGGCCACGACGCCATATTGAGAGGCGGTCGCCCCGAAATCGCGGGAGTTCGCCACTTCGGCCGGTGTCTCCGGCTCGCCTGGTGGCGGCAGCGGGGGCGGCTTTCGGAGAGAGAGTCGCGCCGGCGGAGTCAGAACGCCGGATGTGAGAACGAGATGAGATAGCGGGAACGATGAGAAGGAGAACGCCCGACGACCTGCTCGCGTCTTGTCGCGAACGAAGGGAAAGCCGCCGCGCCCCGGCGTCGCCGCGGTGATACATCGCGCAGTCAGGACGTGCACATCGCGCGGCTCAGGAGACGCCACCGGACGCGACACGAGCGTCGCCTGAGTTCTTTCTTTCGTGCCGTGTTACGTTCGCCCGGACAGTGTGTTTACAGTGTATTGTCTCGTGACTCTCTCGTCGCCCGGCTCGAGATTATTTCGTCATTCGGTCACGTTGCGTCCACTGTCGGGATTATTTCGGACCGTCTTTTACCGTTCGCCGTCCGTGTCGTGTTGGATTACCCACGTGCGACCTCCCTGTGCGACCTGAAGACAGTGTTGGCATAGTGAACTGTGAGAGGGTTTGATCGCGCGCAAGTTGCGCCGAGGTCTCTCGTGTGAGGATATATCAGTGTGAGGTGATTTCGCCGCGGATGTGCCCGATCTGTTCGCGCGACACGAGGAAGCGGGGTGGGTTCTGTTGTCTCGGGAGATGGAGTGAGCGTATGCGAGACGGGCTCCTCGTCGAAATATGAGGATTACGTTCCACCGCTGCTGCGACCGACCATCGATCACCCGTGAAAATGGATCTCACGCATGTGTTTCTGCTGCTACTGCTCGTCGCGAGCTCAAGGTGCGTGCGTGAACGTTCGCGGAATGACGCGTCCCACATGAAATCTAGCGGAGTCGCGATCGCACTCCGTTACCGACGTTACCGTAGCCCTCGCTGACGTCACTTGTTGGGTCACTGTTCTTTTTAGCTGAACTGGTGCAATAAATTAAATAAAATACACTTGTCTCACTCTAACTTGTTGCACCAATGCGTACCACTTTCAGAAAGTTCAGCTAAAAAGAACGGACCTGTTGACGTCCGCGTCCCACGTTCTAACGCAAGTTTTCTAAAAATCGTGAGATATGACAATGATCATGGTGAGATAACTTTCGCGAGATTATCGTTAATTTGGCAAACGGGGAATATTTGCGGAAATTTATTGACCTCATGTGACTTGTCTCAATGAATGTCACATGACGTAAGTGTCATGTTGGCGGCGTAGCCAACTGCTTCAGTGGAGGCAACTGAAGCAAGCTTGTGCCTTGCACCGACCTTTTAACGCGAGAATGATGTTTTTTCGAAAAACCAATTTTTAACAAATCCCATATCGACGATAAGACGATTGCATCGTCGCAGATGGTGTCGTGTTGTTTCGATCGTTGCCATTGACACCGACGCGAAATCGATCAAATTGCTTGGCAGTTTTCATTGTTGGATCGTCTTGCGTGACATTTCCTGTGCTGCGTGCACGGAGAGTCGATATCGCGCCTACTGCGTGTCGTATCCGCGCCTTTTAAAATTACCAAGCAGATTCATATTACTCCTGAAAGGAATATTCGGAGAAATCTGAATTGCATTTGATTATGCGATGAGTAACGTTGAATTTTTCAAATATAAAGAAACGATCATGCATTTTTGTGTCATTGTAATTTTTCATGAAACAATATACGTGCACTGAAGGAAAAATTATATTAAAATCAACAAATATTTCTTTGATGGGTGCCATTAACATATTTACTTAAATCTACATTCTCTTTATTTAAATCAAATATTGTTTACCTGACTTAAATACACAATATTTGGTTTAAATAAAGAGAATGTAGATTTAAGTAAATATGTTAATGTCACCCATCAAGGAAATATTTGTTAATTTTAATATAATTTTCCCTCAGTGTGAAAGATGGCAGGTGAAAACGGCGTATATATTTCTTTTACAAAACTCACGACACACACATAAGAGCACAATCGTTTAAAAACTCGAAATTACTTGTTACTCACATTATTTACTCATATTTATCATAATATATTTGCGAAAGAAAGGAGAAAATCGTAATTTCGATCACGACATTAGTGGATTAAAGGTACGTTTTTGTCTTTTGCAGATGCATGTGCTCGAACGGATACACCGGACAAAATTGCGAGAGCGAGTACATCCCCTGCGACCCGTCGCCATGTGAGAATGGAGGCTCGTGCCATCAGCTCGGCGAACATGCCTATGAGTGCATCTGCCCTGAGGGTGAGTGAGAGCGAGCTCTCTTTTTTTTTCGTACACCTCATATCGCGCCGTAAAATCACGCCGAGCGACGGCGCGGCGGCACCCAATCCCGCGAAAGATGAAACTTTTCGTATCGCACGTATCATCTCTCTCCTCGCTTCGCTTCTCATTCTTTATCCGACCTCGTTCTTGCGACGGTCCGTTTATCCCCTTTGTCACCAAAGATAATGGCGCGCGGTCCACACGCACCTCTCGGACACTTCCACCTCGCGCGGTGTGTCTCGGGGATTGTCGGTTCGCGATCAGCGTCGCACGTCAAAGTGCACACAATTCAGCCGGCGTCCAATTTCTCCTTTCCTCTCATTCTCTCGCTGACTCCCGTTTCCGGAGCGCGCAACATAAATGACCCCCGTTCACTCTTCACTACCCGGAGCCCCGAAATCTTGCGATGACCGTGGCGAGCCGAGTCGAGGACATTTCTCACGGGCGCGGCTCATCCTCGTCCGCCCGCTCGCGGCAAAGAAAGTAACTTTCGACCAACAAAAGGTCGCCGGTCCGGCTGATTACGTGGTGCGCCGATAACGTTTTCGGGCGATCCTCGCCCGCGTTCCACTCTGTTTGTCGCCGCGCGAATGAGTCTCCTGCGAGCCCGTTGCGCAACCTTGTCCCAGCGACGCCGAAAGAAATGAGATGAATTGGCAAAAGAGAAAGAAAGAGAGAAGCGTGGACAAAAGGGAGCCGAGAGAGGAAGACAAAAGAGCGCCTCTCAGGGCAATGATTACGCAGTGCAGCAGGTACAACTCGGGCCAGGGGGTGGCGGCGCGGCCATTTACGTGCGTGTGTACACGGTGGATGGTTAATGTAGAGCCTAGGGTCAGCCTAGCGTGGCCTCCTCGCCGCCCGGATCACAATGCGTGGTCCTCTTTTTCCCAGGCGGACCACGACCATGGCGACCCCACCTTCTTCGTCTGCTCCTTCGCCCCCTCGTTTTCTTCTCTCCTCCTCCTTCTCGTCTTCGTCCACCTTGCTCGGTATAGCGCGCACAGGTCCCTTCCCGTTGGAGGAACGCGCCCGAGTCCTACCTTCTCGCAGGTGGTTCTTCGTCACCGATCGTTACGCGCTTCCTCTGACGTTATTTCGCGCGGTGTATCACGTAGAATACTGACGTGTGCTCCACGTGTGTGATCTCGTATAGTAGAATAGAATCTGTCATCTCTTTCAGAAATTCTAGTCTCTTGTTCGGCAATTTGTTTCTCGTTACATATATTGATCCCTTGAATGGTACGCTCATGAGAGTTTTACGGTGAAATATTAAGTTCCTTTTGATCTTTTTGATACTATTGTATTTCTTCTAACTCATAGCAGATACAAATTAGATTTATTTTGTATTTTATCTTTCGCACCAAATTCTAAAAAAAGTAGCAATAAAAAGAAAAGAAAATTTAGCTGTGCTTGTTAAAAGAAAAAAGAAACTCGCTCTAGGCTGAATCGCGGTCATTTCAATTCACCACTCAAAAGAATTTATTGTATGTATATTTTGTTCCGGTTGCGTATGTACACGCGCTTCGATCATTGCGATCGTACGGGTCGGGCAGTTCGTTTCTGCGGCTAAATCTTCGCGTTTTTCCGCGCTTTCGCGAATTAATAAGGCAAACCGCTTCACTCAGGCGACACACTCGTACTAAACTCCGCCACAGCGGCCACGTTCGCTCGGTTTTAATCGAACCGTCCTCGGTTTACCGCGCGGCTGTAAATTCTCGACGGCCAAGGAGAGGCAACGGGGGGGAGCACGGGCAAGTGGCGCAGGGGGAGAGGGGGAGAGTGAGAGGGGAAGTGGGCAGCAAGAAATTGGACGTTGCGAGCATATTTTGTGTAACTTCGCTCACGCATATCGCCGCGCACCGGCCGTGTACTTTACGACATTACATTAGTACAAAGTGCCGCGTTGCCTTCTACTTGTCCCGGGCAGGCATCCGTTTAAGTAGCCCTCGGCGGAGGCTATAAGCCGAGAAACCGGCGTGTAACTGCACGCACCGTGGCTTTTATTTCGATCCTCTTTCTCTCTCTCTCTCTCCCTCCCTGCTCCGCTCTCCTCGCCGGCCGTTTCGCCTTCGTGAACGAGGTTGGAGCGGAGCAGTTTACCCGCCGGTCGTCATTATCGCCTTCTCCGCTCGGGGCGACTCCTTCCGCGAGGCACGCTCCTGTAAAACGCGCTCTCCCGCGTGCTCTGTCTCTCTCTTTCTCGCTCGCAAACAACCTCTTTTCTTCCTCCGCTTCCTGCCGCGTGACACTCCAATAAGTCGCGGGGATCGAAACTCGAAGAAGGCGTGTCCGGATGATCGTTGCCGGCGCGATCGTTAGCGGCGGGAAAGTCAGCCCAGACGGGGACGAACTCATCGTTCCCGGTTCTCGAAGGAGTCCTCGAAGGACTCGCGCACTCGCCCAGGACGAGGCCATAACTATTCCGGGTCCCGCGCGGGAGAAATCGCGCTGGACTTCCTCCTCGAGCCCCGCCGCTCCGTTTCTTTCTCTCTTTGCTCTTCTTCCTTCTCCCTCTCCTTCTCTCCTCCAGCTTTCGCTCGCACCGGTATTACGGTCGTAAAGATTTTATTTTCCTTGTTCTCGCACCGCTCGACTCGCGCTACTCCTCGCGTCTCTCGTCGCATATCGATCCCACTTTTGTCGCAGGTGCGGCCGTTCAATGTCGCGTGCATCCCGCGAATGTGCAACCGGTGAATATTCTCAAATATTTGAATCGGAATTTCCAGCGCCTTGTTAGCGCCGTCGTTATTTCGGCAAGGAGACACTGTGTGACTGGAACAAAATACATCTCAGGAAAAAAGAGAAGTGTCGGATGCACAGTTTCAGATATTTATTGGATGAAATAATTATTTCGAAACACTATGAGTATATTTTACAACGGTACACAACTTGCTGCTCCTATTTGAAAAAAAAATAATTGTCAGACGTGTAACAAATACTTTTTGAGTCTGCACTCTCTATTTCCCTGCACGACGATTTCACCTCTGGAGCTTCTACTTCCGAGGCGAAAAAAGTAACTCGGATACCGTGTAACTTCCGTGTCACGTAAGCGCGCGCGCGCGCACTTCACAGGTGTCTTTTTGCTCGCAATTCTCGCACCTCGCGAGACGATATTATCACACTACCGGGATAACGCGATGCACGAACGCGAAACCGGCGCGGCGTCGCGGTCTTCCCGTTCGAAATGATTTGCTCGGCTAGTTAGTTATAAATGGTTCAATTTGCAACAGCACGCTTATGCGCTTGTCTGCCGTCGTATTTTCCCGTCCCTTTGGCGTCGATTTTCTTCCCCCGTAGTTGGCTCGCTCTTCGTTTTTGCCGAACGTTCGTTCGTTCGTTCGTTCGTTCGTTCTCCGCGAAGAAAAGAGCCCTTTGCGAGCATGAGAAGAAAGAGAGAGCTCGTAACTATCCCGCCTAGGATTCTCGACGCGAGCGCGAGTCGATTCGGTCGCGTAGGTAGAGTCGTAATGGTTCAATTTGCGGCGTCCCGCTCACCTAACTCTCATTCTCGGCCTGCTGTGCTTGCTCTTCGTGCACGAGCCGCACCTTCTATGCCGCCCTTTTCTCTTTTCTCGCTCCCTTCCTCCGCCTTGTGTCCTGTACCTTTCTACATTCCTGCGCAGCAGCGTCTCCTTTCTAAGGATCATCCCGCCTAGTGCAGGATTTCCTTCGTCCAGCGATCCGATCACGCCTCCTCCATTTCATTTCGCTAATTAGAAACTGCTGCATCGAGCGCCGGCTAAACGATTAACCGCGGATTAATCGCTCGGAGGGAAAGGGCGATGCAGAGAGAAAGAGAGAGGAAGAAGGGAGCGAGGAGAAGAGAAAGAGGTGCTTCGTATAACACTCGTTTCCTCGATCCCGAGCGAACAATCTCGCTCGTTTCCTTCGTATCTTCCTCTCGTTCCGATTCGATCGCTACACGCACAAACACACGCACACGTGGATGTGTGTACGTACACGGCGGAGTGATCGAGTCGGAATGAGAGAAAGAGATGGCGGGAGTCCTGTCGATCGATCGACCGCGACGATTGTGCCGGCCCGACGGAGTTCTTGCGGAGGAATTAAATCGTCGGTTTTACCGCGCCGCGACGACCGGCAAGAAACTCGAATTTATTGTCCAAGTTGTACTTTGTCGGCGACGCCGAGGAGGATTGAATAGTCTCGCGAGAGACGGTGCGCGCGCTCTCCATGCCGATTCTCTCTCGCGCCGATTAATTTGTTGATCGACTTCTTGCCGGAGCGCGGTCGTTCTCGAGGACTTTTCATTATTTTCCGCGCGCGCTTAATGTGCTTTTCTATTCTCGACTAAAGAGCGTTTCATAGAGGCGCCCTAGGAGCGGCCCTTAGACAGACGATCGTCCTACGTTAGCCGTCGAGTGAAAGAGAAATGTAGAATTCCGATTACGGAGAAATTTCGAAGCCGTAATTTCGATCATTTAAAGATAAAGTGATGCCTGAGAAGAACTCACGCGTTCCTTTTATTTCTCCGGACGCCACCGAATTCCCCCCGAATGCTTTATCAAAGCGAAAGAACCTCGCCGACGATCGGGAGACGGTAATGTAATGCGATGTTCCCCGGATGAATCTCTTCGGCGCATCTCGCTGCATAAATGCGATGATGGAAGAATGTTGCAACAGCCAACCGGTTAATGACACCGAAAGTCTGCTTGAGCTCTCTCGAGCCCTCGCACTGAGAGAAAAATGTATATTTGGAACTACAATGGCATAGTAAAAATATTATAGTTAGGAATATAATTTTTATAGTAAATGTTACCATAATATTTGTAATATTTACAATATAAGTATAATATAACTGACCCGTGTAAAATTTTTACCAAGAATTATAATTATTTGAAATAAAAAATATGGTAAGGTGGCAAATATTGAATGGTAAGAGAAATTAACTATTTTATATAGTCAATACAATTGGAATATTTGGCAAATATAGGTACATGTAACTGTATTCCCAAAAGGTG